GCCAGGAATGCCAGGTAGCAAGACCATATCCCGTAACAAGTTCAAATTTTCTTCTCAAATTTGTCATTGCCTCCATTGATTATCTCTAATTTTCTTCCTTACAAACTTTTCTTAAATTATTTTTTGCTTGTAATTAATTAATCTAATATCTATTTTCACTTTAATGCAAATATCAGTCATATGGAAATTCCGTTCTGGCATATTGTGATGAAACTGATGAATTTGCATGTAGATATGTGATTAGTGTCAGGAATCAGGATGCTGTGTGTTGATAGAAATTTAGTTTAGATTCCATTAAATTGTTAATGTTTATTAGAGTTTGGTTTCTGGGCAAATAAATTTTGCTGAGACACAGACAATGATTTTGGTGTAATTTTCATGCCATTTCAGACCCTTCTAAATAAAACTTGAGATTCTACATCATGAGATGGGAGGTTATGGTCACTGTTTGTATTCTGCTTCTTACATTGAGCCTCAAGCGATTCAAGTTTTTTCATTCAACTTGTTATCGCTTGAAAAGTTAATAATTCACCATACTATTATTAATTCAAGTTTACAGTTCTTAGAATTAACTGTTCTTAATAGACTATTTCCTCATTATGAAATGACATGAAGTTGCTTCTATGATGAAAGTATAATCTCATATCTAATAGCATTTTTGAAGAGTAACATACAAAAAATCCTTATAACTTTTTCACCACTCCTCTTACGATTTGGATGTTATCGATAGATTGGTGGTAACAGATGATCTTTGCTTTCGATTTTGCAGATGATGAGTCTGATATAGAAAATGCTTTCAAGAGAGCTATGCCCTGGCTTGGAGATGACCTTGGCATGAAGGATGCCTCAAGTTCAATCTTCCCTGGATTGAGTTTGGTGCAATGGATGAGCATGCAGCAGAATAATCAGTTCTCTGCTGCCCAACCTGGATTTATACCCCCATCCATGCTTTCATCCAATACACTGCATGGTAACCTTAACACTGATGATCCATCCAAACTATTGAGCTTTCAAGCTCCTGTTCTCTCTGCACCAAATCTTCAATTCAACAAACCAAATCTACCAAACCAAGTCAACCAGTTGCAACAATCGCCAACGTCATGGCCTCCACAACAGCAGCAACAGCAGAAACTGCAATCAATGTTGCAAACACCATTAAACCAGCTCCAGCAACAGCAGCAGAGGCAACAGCAGCTGCCTGGACCACAAAACTTGTCACAACCGCAGCAACAACAACCCCAACTGCCTCAACAGAGAGCACAACAGCCACAACAGCAGCAACAGCAGTCGTGTCAACCGACCATCATGAACAATGGGGCAGTTGCTTCTAACCAGATTCCAAATCAGTGTGTACAGCAACCAGTAACCTACTCTCAGCTTCAGCAACAGCAATTACTCTCAGGAAGTATCCCACCCCAACAAAGCTTTCAATCACCCAGTAAGAATACATTGCTGATGACATCCTTACCTCAAGACTCGCAGTTTCAGCAACAAATAGACCAGCAAGCTAGTCTCTTACAGAGGCAGCAGCAGCAGCAGCAGCAACAGACACAGTTGCAACCTTCTCCGATGCAGTTATTGCAACAAAGCCTGTCACAAAGGGCACCACAACAATCCCAATTGACTCAAATGTCGCAGCAAAACAGCTCAGAACAACAACCACAGTTACAGTTGCTACAGAAATTGCAGCAACAGCAGCAGCAGCAACAACTCCTTTCCACTTCTAGCCCACTTTTGCAATCTCAGCTTCTACAGCAACAAAATACTCATCAACAAAACCAGCAATTGCCACAGCTGCCTCTGTCACAGTGTCATCAGCCTCAACAGCTAGGCAACAATGCTTTTTCAATGGAGAAGCTTCTCAATGGCAACAACTACTCTTCTTCGGCTTTGATGCAAACACAGCAGCTTCCTGTGACCCAACACCATAACACACAGAAATCACTAACTAATACTAGAGCTCCCTCTACTCTTACAGATGGAGATGCCCCATCATGCTCAACATCACCATCTACTAATAACTGCCAGATATCTCCTCCAAATCTGATGAAAAGAAATCAACCGGTACCAACCACATTAGGAGGACCTTCGGTAGTGGAACCCACCAATCATCTGATACAGGAGCTTCATAGTAAGTCTGAGATGCAGATCAAACATGAATTACCCAGTGTAAGAGGACCTGACCAGCTCAAGTATAAAGGGACAATTGCTGATCAGCTGGAAGCTTCTTCTGGAACATCTTACTGTATTGATCCTAATAATATCCCACAGAACTTCTCACTTCCCAACTTCTGCATGGATGGAGATGTCCAATCACACCCAAGAAACAATCTTCCATTTGCCTCTAATCTTGATGGATTAACACCTGATACTTTGCTCTCAAGAGGGTATGATTCTCAAAAAGATTTTCAAAACTTACTGTCCAATTATGGTGGTGCTCCAAGAGACATTGAAACTGAGCTGTCCACTGCTGCCATTAGTTCACAGCCATTTGGGGTGCCAGATATGCCTTTTAAGCCTGGATGCTCTAGTGATATTGCCATCAATGATACTGGGGTTTTGAATAATGGCTTGTGGGCTAACCAGACTCAACGTATGCGAACATATACTAAGGTATGTCATTTACTCATTGTTTGAAAAAAAGTATAGATCTGTCTAAGCTTAATATATTTGCTAAGCACATTTGGTGTCTTGATGTTTGCTAATATACATGATCAGATAAGTTTTCTATATATTCCTATTGAGATTGTCTGAGATTCTCTGTTCAACTCTTGATCTATGTGAACACTGTCAGTTGCTGTCCCAGTAAACTTAAGCTATTAATATTAGCATAACATCCATACAATCATGATCTTGCCTCCATCCCAACACTGCATATGACTTTCCCTAATGATTTTCAGCAATTCAACATGTCCAATTGCCTTATCTTTTGTAAATCTGAATATGATGGTTTGAATATAAACTTCACTGATTGATCAATAAAATTATAAGCTGCACTTTGTAGTACTTAACCTGTATTGTCCTTTGAGATTCTTTGATAGTTAAGTTGTGTCTTACATCTCAGATTTTGACTAGAAAATTATATTAAGTTGGGATTGGTGGTTACACAATAACTGCCATTCCTGAGCAGCAGTGTCATCAAAAACTCAACCTCAAATGCTTTGGTCTCAATTGTATCAATATATTTTTGGATGATATTCAAATGCTTAACCCTGCCTCACATTTTGAAGGTTCAAAAATGTGGCTCTGTCGGAAGATGTATCGATGTCACCCGTTACAAAGGATACAATGAACTCCGGCATGATTTGGCTCGGATGTTTGGGATTGAAGGGCAGCTAGAAGACCCTCAAAGGACTGAGTGGAAACTAGTATATGTGGATCATGAAAACGACATTCTTCTGGTTGGTGATGACCCTTGGGAGTAAGTAGTCAATTCTTGTAGTTCACAGTCCCTACTATTCCATCCATTCAGGTTTATTTTCTAAATCTTAAAGTTATATTTTCTTGCAGAGAATTTGTAAGCTGTGTCCAGAGCATAAAGATATTGTCATCTGCTGAGGTACAGCAAATGAGCTTGGATGGGGATTTAGGTCATGTTCCAGTCCCCAATCAAGCTTGTAGTGGGACAGATAATGGCAATGCATGGAGGGGACAGTATGATGACAACTCCGCCGCGTCGTTTAATCGATAAGGATGTCATGTATTGACATTGGAGCAGTCAACTTGTATATTTTGAGACAAGGAGGACTAACTAACCCTTAAAATTTCTCGTTGGTGCTTCTATATATCACTAGTGGAAAGGAGACATTCATTACAGATGCAGTTGAAGAGGTAGTGTAGAAGTTTAGATCCCTAGATGTACCAAGACCAGATTCCTTCACTAAAATGATGCAGATTCTATCTTGGGATCTGCTTTTCTTGTGGCTGGTAATGCATGCTTAGGATTTTTTTTTCTTCTTTCTTTTTGGTAAGGTACAGCCATATAGGTCAGCCGGTGTATAATATAGATGATTGTTCCTATATAAAGAATGTTTTACTTACAGTTCTGTAAATCTTTTGGTCATTATTCATTAAAGTTAGATGAAGTTAGGTAACCAAGTGATGACGGAGAGAAACAACGATACATGCCAATTCTAGATTTTGTACAAGTGCCTACATTGTTTTCATGATGAAAATTACGGTGAAGTTTATTATGTATGAAGAAAACTCGGTTCTTTTTTACATTTTTACACTTTGGGGGTAATGTGCTTTAGCTTGCATTTTGGTTGCTTGAATTGAATGTAATAACTCCTTTCTGGATCGATTTATGTAACAAGCAATTTAAAATTTTAAATCATTGTTGAAATTGATCAGGCTTAACCCTGCTAACACCATCCCTTTATTTTATTTATGTAATAACGAGGATCAAATTCCTGATCGTTTTCTTTGGGTATTTTTTATTTTAATTTAAATACCGAGTATCTTCAGTCCGAAATTAAACACTAATTTCTCGAACTACCAATATCTTTTTAAAAATTGATCTCAGCAAATATTTTCTTCACAAATATTGTCATATACACGACTGAAAGTGAAACTTCTACCGAGTTATCGGCTTATCGCATCCCAAGGCGCATGCTATCGACAATTTTGACACCTTTTAATTTCCTCTTAATTATTAAAAAGATCGAGTATTAATTGCACTTATTATCTATTTTTCCTTACTACATTAAAATAATAATTAAGAAAATGTTCTAATAGTGCAGAACTTAATTCAACACTACAAAGTGTACCAAATCCAAAAGATAATCAGATTGTCCAAGGAACAGATTGCAATCAACTATATTTTCCGAACGTCATTACAATTAAAAAATCCACTTTTCTCGTGATGAACACAAAAATTTTAAGTTACAAAACCCAAACACGATATTCCTAGGAGAGGACAGCCATGACATCTGAGACCCTCAAGGTAATATAGTCCCCATCTTTTCCCTTGAAGTCATTTCCAGCATATTTGGAGTACAAAACTGTGTTTCCAGGACTCACGGACAAAGGTTTTCTGTTACCTTCCTCGTCATGAGGCCCAGGACCGACTGCTATCACCTATAACACAATTAATACAAAAACATTACTCAGTTGAAACTTGAAACATTGTTACTCCACAAAAGTGCACATTTAAATAGTGCCCGAGCATAATCCTCTTAATTAGTGACGTTAACTACACTATCTATTCAAATGATAGGAACACTTACTGTTCCAATAGAAGGCTTCTCTTTTGTTGCCTCCGTAAGCAACAAACCACCAGCAGTTTTTTCCTCAGCTTCTGCAACCTGCAATCAATATTCAATCATATTCAGAAAGTACCACCAAAATCTTTACAGGCATCTAAAAGAAGCAAAGACCACCTATGATGCACAAATAGGCTGCGCATGATCATTACCGTATCATGCATTATTTTAAGGATAAATGTATTACCGTTACATACAGCAATTCAACTATTCTTTCTTAAAATATATAGGATATGTGGCAAATATACTTTCTTATTAAGATATGTAAATTTATAAAACACTAAATACTCCTGCCAGACCTTTATATAGGAAATGAATAATTAATTCATCAATAGCAATAAAAATAATTTAGCTAGTATTAATTAGTCATAAAGTTAAATTTTATTCCAAAAACACCCTTTGAATTAAATAGTGGTTACCAAATTCAAGATATATTTTTTGCACTAATGAGTGTTGTTAATACACCAATCATGCATCCACTTACATAGAGATGAGTAAGTGTCTCATTAATAGATTTAACTATAAATGAAAATGAAGCGTATAAAAGAAAATTAACAACTAATATATCTCAACATGCGTCTATATTTCTTGTAATTAGTTTCTTATATAAAAGGCCAGGGGAATATATAACTTTCATTAAGCAAAATTCAAATTAAGAACACACTTTTTGAAAATTACTAAAAGCAATAAAAATTATACATCGTTATCATCAAAAATCACTACCCATTGCCTACAAAATAGACCTAATACTAAACTCATTCCCTTCTTGAACATCTTCCACAAAGAAGACAACTATCATTTTGGGTTCAAGAGACAATGCTTCTACGTTGCAAACTTTTACGTACTTCTATGTCTTATTCAACTATAATAGATTATTATGACATTTTTCGAAGTTTGGATACTTCATATTTTGCATATCAGTGAAATATCGGATAGTATAAGTAACACATACATATCTGGTACAAAAGCATGAAACAAATGCGAGCATCCTATATGGACAAGATTAACAGAACCTGTGAAATGAGCAGAACCTAAATACACCTTCAGAATCATAGAATTTCCAAATTTGTTTCACAAAAGATCCTATGCCACTTTCCAACTAGAGATCCAAGCATTGGAACATGAAAAGCTCTAGAGAAAGTACCTTTATGAGGACTCTATCATTCAAAGGCTTAAGATCCTTGATGTCATCAGTTTCAAGGATACCAACAATGTCATCATCCTTCACAATAAGATGCTTTGTACCGTCATATTCCACCTCAGTGCCTGCATACTTTGAATACACGACTTGTGCACCAGTCTGTACAAAGACAACATATCACCACATGCATAAATTAGAGACAAGACAACACCTACTCTTTACCCAGATAAATTTAAAATAGATAATTAAATGTTTAATGACCTCCCAACAAAGCAGCAACATTACCTGCACACTGATAGCCACATTGGTCTTCCCAACTGTCTTTCCTTCCCCAACAGCAACCACCTCACCCCCTTGAGGCTTCGTCTGAGCAGTTGAGGGAAGCAAAATCCCACCCACAGTTTTCTCCTCTGCTTCCTTAATTTTTATCAACACTCTGTCACCCAGAGGCTTAATCGCAGTGTACTGCACAGTAAAACCGTCACTCAGGTACATGAAGCATTGGATTATAAAAGCATACATAGTTCATTCAATAAACCAAATTGAGGAAACAATACCACGACTTCTAAGGGTCTTTTTGAATAAACTTTTCCAAAAAAAAAAAAAAAAACTTTTTGGAGAAGAAAATAAAAAGAAAAAAAAATGAAATAAACTTCTCTGGCTTATACAAAAGTTAAAAACATATTTAGGATAAGCTAATACGGAAGAACATTTACAAATTAGCTAATGCATAAACTTATTTCATTTTTCCTTTTGTATTTTCCTCTTTTACAAATACTTCTGCAGAAATTCATCAAAACAACCCTTAAATTGACAATTCCACAACCTGCACATCGCAGCTTGGTTTCACAAGTAAATTACAAAAAAAAAAAAAAA